GCTTCAAAACCAGCATTACTGTAAGGACAAACGTTTAAGCTTCATAAAGTCACCTTTTTGCAAATAATAGTACATTTTTATTTTTTAGTAATTAAGGTTTCAGTTTGGCAACAGCAGAACAAAAACTCCAAATGTTTACTTTGAATTTTATACTTATTGACTTTTTGACAGAAAATCTGAACTCTTAACTCTTTACTCCCAGGTGCAATAATCTGTCAGTAGCCACATGCTATAGTTAGCATTTTAGCAATTACTAGCATATCATCCATGATCATAACATAGGGTGACCATATTTTCATTTGGGAAAACCAGGTGACCTTGGAGCGGGGGGGTGGGGGGTAATCTCTGTTCCCATGCATAGAGATGTCTGTGGCATAAACTCACTTAACATAGACCTACGTAATCCTTAACAATAAAAGTTAACCATAACTCTCAGCTCCCAATAACAGATGATACTCAGCCTCAGCAAGGAACGAAATAATGTCTGTTCTGTAGGCTATTGGAAAAAATAAATAAACAAATAAGCTAATTAACAGAAAATACCTCTTGTGTAGCAAAAATAACCCAAAATGAACCAAAAACTAACAAACATATCAATAGACTATCTTTACTTTCGAAGTCCAGGTGGCTTTTCAGATCCCTTGCACCTCCATTGGACACCGAGACATATGAGCCTGATTTACACACTGTGCACAAGGCCTCCCATTTATCTCGATCCGGTCTGAAAGCGGGAAACTCTTTTTTAAATCGTCTGTAAACATACATTTGCATGTTGTTGGCGTACGGACAGCCACGATATCTATATTCTGATGAAGAACAGGGCTGCCCGCACTGGCGCGGCTCAGGTGTTACATCACACGCAGCGCCGTGCGCAGGGCCCTAGTGCCTGTAAATTTAATGGTCCAATGAAGGTAATTTAAAAAAACAAGACATTTCCTCACCTTTTAAAAAAAAAAAACCCAGGACGCCCGGGACAGGACGTGAAATACGGACATGTCCCGGGAAATACGGACGTTTGGTCACCCTATATAACACCCAGATAAAATAGGTTTGACAATATTGGTATGCTTCGAAAAAAGTATTGTTTGTGTGTTTTGATTATAAAAAAAAAGTTTTGATTATTAAAAAATGCTTTCAGGTTGTTTGTGGGTTTTTTAAGGGGAGGAAATTCTGTGTGGTTTTAAAAAAATGAGGCAGGCGATGTTTACTGTTGTATCCCATATATAAAAATTAACTGTTTTTTGTGCAAAATGAACAGTTTCCTTTTTCGTTTTCTTAGATGTTTATGGCTTTTACTCGCATGGTGCTCCGAGCCAAGAAGCAGAGTCAGGACAGAGCTGAAAGGGAACGGGAGCGGGAGAAAGACACGGTCAACATGAACGCCCAGAGAGACCGCGACCGCCGGAAGAGAGGGAAGAAATGCTGCTGAGACGGAGAGCCGTCATACGGGACACTGTCTGGGTCATTATTCCTGGTTTAACCTGATGGATTCACAGTCTGCAGCACTGACCGCACGTCCACGCCCCCGAGGACCTAAAGGAGCATTCTGGTGTTTTTTTAAAGGTTTTTCTGGGTTCTGATGCATAAAACTTTATTTGTACTGAAGGTGAACGTTTCTGAGAACTGCAGTCTTTGTTCCTCTGAGCTCCGCCCTTATAGACTCCCAGATGTTTGAGGAAATATAAAACGATGCCTCTGAAGAGCCTCAGTCTGCAGATCTGATCCTATTAGTTCATCTCTCCCTGAATTAAAAGACAGAAAATCTGAAATATTTTGTGGTTTTGAGACGAAGAAACTGGACGTAGATGATCGGGGTCGTTCATCTTGATGAAATCAGTCTCAGCTTCTTTCTTACCTGAAGCTGCAAAAATTAACCATTGAAATTTTGCATGAATTTATCAAAATTTTGTTTTTTCAAATTTTCAGCTTTATTTTAGTGAAAACGGTGAAACTCCCAGCCACCTTCAAATACTTTGATTTTTATTGTTAAATACTGAAATTGGCAGATTCTTATAAACCATTCCTCTGTAAAAGGAGCATAATGGTTTGGAGGGATGCCAGCACAATCAGACGCTCATTTCAAACTGTCATTATCAGATAAAAACACCAGTTTGTTCCTTTAACTTCACTTTTCAACCAGTTTTTCAAAATACGTAACAAATATCCTTCAAAAGGGAACCGTTTGTGACTAAATCGTAATGTTTTAAGGTGTGAAGAGTTCAGTAATTTACTTATTTCTGTCTAAATGATAAATCTTCACTGGACTCTTAATGTTTTACTGTTTACCATGAAGATGTGTTCAAAGCAAAATAAAGCAATAAATCTAATAGTTTCTCTGTGTAACAGTGACTGAACTATTACAGCTCTAACAGGAAATAGCCTTAATGTCTTCCATCACGTTCTGCCTGGAATGATCTAAAAATGTTTCTCTGCTGCTGTTTGTGATGCTTTAAAAACAAAATAAACCATTTAAGAAGTTTTTCTTCTAGAGTTTCGATGGTTCAGTGGAAACTTTGACTGAATACTATTCTGTTCCCTTTAAAATATTCCCTCCACAATCATTAAAGGAAAAAGATTTAATGAACCAGAGACAAAATTTGGGGACAAAGAACAAAAATGTTTGAAGATCTGAAAATAATGAAAGTTGTTAAAATGTGTTTAGAGCTTTATCTGGAACAATGATTCAAAGTTTGAGATGCTCTTTTTAAAGCAACACTGAGTCCTTAACCAAATTATTAGCTTAATTTAAATATATTTAATGATTTTTTATGTGAATATTCAGGTCTTGGTGGGTATCTACTCTCCATGCAGGCTGCTCTTCTCCAAAACACGCCTAAAAGTCTGATCCGTCACTGAATGCGTCACGTGACCCAAAGGTTGCTTTACAGCAGAGTGAGCTCCTCTTAAGTCAACAAAAATTGGGTCTGACCCTTTCCTGATCAGACAAGTTTGTTCTCTGATTTAGGATTTGATCCAGGAGACGAATGTTTCTGTTTTTACCAGAAACTCCATGATTCCTCAATCTACTGGTCTGAAGTGTTGCCACTTATCTTCAACTTTCCACTGTCCCATAAAGACCACAGCTTTGTTGCCCTGAAGCTCCTGCATGGAGTTTTATTCTTCCGGTCATAATCAGACCAAAGGTCTTCATTGTTTTCAGTCTGAGACCCTGAGAGATGGAAGTAGACCCACCCTGAGAAGTTTAAAAGTCCTTTAGGGGGGGGCTGGCGAAGGGGTTAACGTCTGACAGGGACATTTAGGTGCTGATGAAGATTTAACCTGAATTTTTAAAATAATCTTATTGGAATTATTTTTATTTCCTTTATTTGTGTTGCCATTATGCCACAGCATTGTTTTATTTCTTGTTCAGCTCATGTACAGCTCTTTGGATCATCATGTTACTGAAAAATATGCTATAAGAATAAATTGAGGTCTAGTCAATCGAGGCAAGCTATATGTATATATATATATATATATATATATATATATATATATATAAACCTCCTCCTCACCCACTGCGGGCCGTCTCCCCTTTTCTCCTCCAAGCTCAGGTCCTCTACCAGAGGCCTGGAAGCCTGAGGGTTCTGCGCAGTATCTTTCCTGTTCCTAGAACTGCACTTTTCTGGATCTGCTGTAACCCCTCCTCAAGTTATGGGGGGAAACACTCCAACAACACAGTATCCTCAATCAAATCAATCTTCATCTGTGAAATNTCACTGAATGCGTCACGTGACCCAAAGGTTGCTTTACAGCAGAGTGAGCTCCTCTTAAGTCAACAAAAATTGGGTCTGACCCTTTCCTGATCAGATAAGTTTGTTCTCTGATTGAGGATTTTATCCAGGAGACGAATGTTTCTGTTTTTACCAGAAACTCCATGATTCCTCAATCTACTGGTCTGAAGTGTTGCCACTTATCTTCAACTTTCCACTGTCCCATAAAGACCACAGCTTTGTTGCCCTGAAGCTCCTGCATGGAGTTTTATTCTTCCGGTCATAATCAGACCAAAGGTCTTCATTGTTTTCAGTCTGAGACCCTGAGAGATGGAAGTAGACCCACCCTGAGAAGTTTAAAAGTCCTTTAGGGGGGGGCTGGCGAAGGGGTTAACGTCTGACAGGGACATTTAGGTGCTGATGAAGATTTAACCTGAATTTTTAAAATAATCTTATTGGAATTATTTTTATTTCCTTTATTTGTGTTGCCATTATGCCACAGCATTGTTTTATTTCTTGTTCAGCTCATGTACAGCTCTTTGGATCATCATGTTACTGAAAAATATGCTATAAGAATAAATTGAGGTCTAGTCAATCGAGGCAAGCTATATGTATATATATATATATATATATATATATATATATATATATAAACCTCCTCCTCACCCACTGCGGGCCGTCTCCCCTTTTCTCCTCCAAGCTCAGGTCCTCTACCAGAGGCCTGGAAGCCTGAGGGTTCTGCGCAGTATCTTTCCTGTTCCTAGAACTGCACTTTTCTGGATCTGCTGTAACCCCTCCTCAAGTTATGGGGGGAAACACTCCAACAACACAGTATCCTCAATCAAATCAATCTTCATCTGTGAAATCAAACTGTCCACTAAGGAAGCAACTGATTGACAATGAATTCCACCTGCTGTGGTGAAATGGAATTAATAAACAGGTGGAAATTATTGGCGACTAGGCGGCTCATCCAGGATGGCACATCAATGCGAGCTGTGGGAAGAAGGTTTGCAGTGTCTGACAGCGCAGAGTCCAGAGGCTGCAGGCGCTACTAGGAGACATGGAGGAAGGCAACGACCCAGCAGGAGGACCGCTACCTCTGCCTTTGTGTAAGAGGGAACAGGAGGAGCACTACCAGAGCCCTAAAAAGTGACCTAAAGCAGGCCAGAAATGTGCATGTGTCTGCATAGACTGTTAGAAACTGACTCCATGAGGAAGTTATGAAGGCCTGACGTCCAAAGATGAAGGATTTGTTCACAGCCCAACACCGTTCAGGATCCCAGGCATTAGTCAGAGAACACCAGGAATGACAAACTCACCACTGGCACCCTGTGCTCACCACAGGTTTAATCAGGTTCACATTGAACACATGTGAGTCTGGAGACCATCAGCCACCTCAGTCGTGGCATTCATGTAACACTGCTAATCAAAAAGAAGGACAATGAATAAATTATATAAAAAAAATTAAAATCACTGATAAAAAAATATATATATGTAGACTGAAAACATGATTTGGCACAATCCAAGGCCACTGAGTTCATTCTGCATTAGTGGAAAATAAGAACTAAAAGCTGCTTCTTGTTTAGTCCTGGGTATTCAGATAAAGTTAGATACTAAGATTCGGCTTTGCTGATTTAATAACTCATGATTGGAACATTTTCTCTATAAAAAGCAGATTTCCTCCATATTTCCTCAAAACGATCAAAAAAAAAAAACACTCTGGGAGATAATAATTGGCCTCCATCAGAGCTCAAACGTTGTCAAGTGTGCAGGAACCGTCTATCATATGTTTGTGATGAAATTTGCAGAGAAACATTTAATAGCATCACAATGAAAAAAATCACAATAGTGTCATGCATTTGTGGTATTATGTCTTTTATACAACATGCCTTGGATTAAAAAATATCTAAAAA